GTAGTTGCTGTAATGATTTCATCAATTACAAACTTTAGTCTAATCTGGACACTAATGTAATATATTCGTCTATTTACATTGTGTATTCCTCTCATTTAATGTGCATTATGGTTCAATCAATCATCTATTTAAATGTGTACCAGGTGTGGGATAATATCAAATGAACATAACTGAATACATTTACTTCAGGTTCAATCAGTCGCCTAACATATCTAGGATTTTTAACTGATTTATCGAATATATCTAACGACTACACTGATAGGTATATCAACGTGATAATAAGCACATACATTTAATAATCCATTTTTTCTTGATGTTGTACAGTAAGATTTTAAAATTTAATGAAGCAATGAAGCACAATGATACGATACGGTTAAATGAAAAGCTTAAAATTTTATTGTAACAAACACTTTTAAATATTCTGTTCATATAAAAACAAGAGGATTTGTAATTTGATTCTGAAGCGGTGGCTTATTAGTTAAGGGGTTTGCATCCTGATCCAGCTTCCTCAGTGTGGGCAAATGGATGGGTATCCCTCATATTTACAGAGTGGATTATATCCTTGCTAGTACTGTGTGAATGAGTTAATTAAAATGAATTTATTTTCAAGAGTATTTTTCTCCTTATAAACTACGTAAAATGAAAAATATACATGGAATGAATTATCTATGATAGCTCATGAACATGCACAAGCACCCGTAAATACACACTGAGTAAAACATACAACCAAAAAACATACCACAGTAATCATAGTTGCATTTTGAGAGAATCGTTTTTCATTTTTTGAATGAATTTTAACATTATTATTATTATTATTGTTCAATAGTTCGTCTGGTGTTTTAATCTGATGATCATTAGTAGTAGTATCTTGTACTCCTAATTGACGCATACGATTTAAACGTTTTTTTTCCACAGCACCAGTTCGATCAACAAATGTATCTTCATCAGATGAATAATAATCACGATCTTCCCAATAAGCTCGTGATCGAGTATAGTTAGAAGCAGCAGAACGATCTGAAGTATCAAAATAAAGTAAAACAAATACTAAAGTGTTTGATTTTATTTTAAATAAATAAAACTAATTATTTACATAGAAAGATGAAAAAGTATTCAACATTAATGACGACTGTAAAACAAACAATGGTAAATAAAAATCAGTGTAATCATTAGTTTGGAGGGGGTATAGTTGGAAGAACAATTTATTTATTCAATGATTTTATTTTAGTATAATATTAAATGTAAAAGCTTTCATTTTAATTTTTAAATTTCAGTAAAAAATATCAACTGAACCATTTCAAATTCAATTAAATCTCATACCCGTTTCATAATTGAATAGCTAGCTATCTGAACTCAACAGCTAAGTGAATCACATGATAATAGTAGTGTTTAAAGCCAACGATACTAGGTTCGAGTTACAGAGTGAACAGCAACTCTGAGATGCAGGTACGAGTCCCGAATAGGATGAAACGCACGTCCTAGATTCCACTGCTAACCACATTCTATCTAGTCTATAATAACTCTAATCAGAATCGATCTATCGAGGCAATTCGCATAGGATGCCTATATCCCAACCAAAACTGATCAAATTCCAGTCGCAAATATCAACAATGGAATAATCCGAACTAGTTCAACATAATTATCTTGAAGATATGCATAAAGATTTATAAAAGTGTAAAAATTCCATTTCTGTGAGAAGAGTTTTTTTTTCCAAATAGAAAACCAATGTTTACATACCTTTTATCTGGATCAAATTCACCTAAACGATCCAAAAGTTGACATGCTTCTAAAGCACAAGCAACGACGGCTTCTTTTCTTTTACCAGAAACAATAACTTCTGCTGTCACCGTACCTGAACTCAATGGCAATCTATGTTAACAAAATAGTGTTAAGAATTTTTAAACAAAAGTAAATGAAGTAATTAAAACAAACTTAATGTTTACCATCACGCATGCATCTTAATAAAATGACCAATGAAAACAAAGAAGCACTGAACAACTGTTTCGTCCTATCAAAAGGCTCTTCTCCAAATCATCAGGGATCAAACCTACAACCTTCAGACATATCAGTGAGTATTTGACCAACAGATCAACCACCTAATATTTAAGAGGTTGCATTCCCAACTTCAGTAAATTTGAAGCCCTATGAATCTATCGTCTGCTCTCATTGATGATATTGATTTCATGCTCGACATGGTTGAACACCGGTAGTTATCGGTTTTCACTAAGTCTTTGGGAAGTATTGGTTAGCCGTCAGTAAGAACATGGTGATTGCAGAAATTACTAAATTTTGTGGTTTTACATCACATACTGAGTTGGTGTGATCAGATTAGCAAACAGATAGAAGTGATGTGAAAGATATCGTCTATATTGGCAGTAAACTGCACGATATCGGGGGCCGCAAGTCTATCAATAATCAAGTCAAATATAAATATTTGTGTAAAACATTCTGTAAACGATACCTACAGTAGTACTATTATCATCAAGAAAGATGAATTCAAAGAACCAATTAGAATAACACACAAAAGTAACCGTATGACTTTTTAAACATGATGCATTTGAAAATAAGACTGGAGATAGGTAATCAGATCGATAGCTTAATAATCGGAGTTAGGATTATTTCTGTTGTAGTGCTTGCTTATATGATTCCCAGCTAAATTTTATTGCTTAGTATCCTCTGACCACAATAAACTGGACAAGTTCCCAAGAATCAAAAAACACGGTTGAACAGGAAAAAGATTATATTCCATATAGCAAGGTTAAATGAAATAAGAAGCCAAGGGTCATGGCGAAGGCGAAGGCAAAAATAGATACAACGTTAGTTTATTTAGACCATTTACGTGAGAAGCTTCTGGATAGAAATTCACGTGATCGACTGGATCAGATTTATCCAATCAGCGCGTAGGAACGTAGTCATGCTTTAATTCCATCTATGTCCCACTAACAATTTCACATCAACTCAAAGTCTACCTTACTTACAAGTTGAAGCGCATAGTTAGTCTGAGCTAACGACGCTAGGAGATAGCCGAAATAATATACATAAATTAGGGAAATTGCAGCCAGGATTCTAACTGACCACTCTTGGATTGATATCCAGTTTACACACTTTAGGATAAAAAACATTACACTTAAACTGGAAGAGGTGTCAAGGATTAATTCCAAATATTCATAAAAATCAAAGAAATTAAATGTTCAGAAATATGGCGTACGATAAAATCTGGAGATTCAGAATCATAAGTCTGTCTGTAAACCCTTTGAGGCTATTGCCGGTCCTAAGCCCGGATAAAGGAGGAGGATAAGGCATGGTGTTGGCGACCTCATCCCACAAAAAAACTAACTTGCTAAAAAACGCTAACCGAACAAATAATTCAAACCATTTTAACTCTGTCCTGGGAATCGGAAGAAGAATTACGATGTTTCATCAGAAAAGCCGAGTTCCCTCCGAAGTCACGAAACCGATGCCTCTCCCGATAACCAGAAGAACCCTTTTTTAGGTACATGGAACGTTCGAACATTGTGGGAGATAGGAAGACTATTTGAAGTTGCGGCAGAAATGAGAAGATACAACCTCGAGGTGCTCGGCATCAGTGAAACGCATTGGAGACAGTTAGGACAACTGAGAATAGCTTCAGGAGAACTGCTGTTATACTCTGATCATGAAGAGGAAAATGCTTCACATACACAAGGAGTTGCACTGATGCTGTCCAAACAGCAACAAAAGGCACTGATAGGATGGGAATCTCATGGACCAAGGATCATTAAAGCAGCCTTCAAAACAAAGAAAGACGACATTACGATGAACGTCATCTAATGCTATGCAACTACCAACGACCACAATGACGACGATAAAGATCAATTCTACGAAAGGCTGCAGTCAATCGTCGACAGATGCTCATCAAAGGATTTGACGATTCTGATGAGAGACCTAAATGCCAAGGTTGACATGGACAATAGTGGATATGAAGACATCATGCGACGACATGGACTGGAAGAAAGGAACGAAAATGGTGAGAGATTTGCAAACCTCTGTGCCTTCAACAAACTGGTCATCAGCAGCAGCAGGTCTCAACATACACAAAGGGAAAAGCAGGATTCTCCACGATACAACACAACATGAGCAAACCAAATCACTCCTGATGGAGATGCCTTAGAGGGCGTAAAAACCTTTAAATATCTGGGCAGCATTATTGACAAGCAAGATGAGTCTGATGCAGATGTAAAGGCGCGGATCGGCAAGACAAGGGTTGCCTTTCTACAGTTGAAGAACATTTGGAACTCAAAACAACTGTCAACAAACACCAAAATCAGGATTTTCAATACAAATGTCAAGACAGTTCTACAGTATGAAACGGAAACTTGGAGAACTACGAATACCAACATTCAGAAAATACAAGTATTCTTTAACAGTTGTCTACGCAAAATACTTCGGATTCGTTGGCCAGGTACCAACAGCAACAACCTAATGTGTGAGAGACCAAAATAGATTCCAGCGGAGGAGCAAATCAGGAAGAAGCGGTGGAAATAGACAGGACAAACACTGCGAAATGCACCCAACTACATCACAAGACAAGCCCTTTCTTGGAACCCTCAAGGAAGAAGGAAAAGAGGAAGGCCAAGGAACACATTACACCGAGGAATAGAAAAAGACATGAGAAAATGTTAGGATGTTCATCCAATATCCTAAGAGAATTATAGGTCGTTTTCAATTGGTTCATTCCTACTGGTCAATTTTATGGTCGTCCTAGATATCAATGTCACGTGCTCCAATATTTCTTCTTATTGGTTGTCCTGACTATCAATGTCACTTCAAATGTTGCTTCCTATTGGTCGTCTTAACTGTGAATGTCACAGACTTCGCTGCTGTTTCCTATTCGACCAAAATGTATAGATACAATTTGAACCCCTGTTTATAAAACACGTCGGATAAAGCAGTAGTTATCTGGTATCAATGGACGATGTGTTGGAATTTTAAAGCAAAAGGTACTGGGGTCACGTCTTGGTGTGAGGGGGATTTACGTGCCTTCCGCATATGCGACAAAACTGTTGTCTGATTTTCCACTGCTAACCATAATCCAACTAATCAATGAACAACATGGAGAAAACATAATCTGAAGGATTCTCTCCTAGGTTTTAGAGGATATGGTTATTTAAAAAAAGAATGTGGTTGGCATTGGAATTCAGGACGTGCGTTTCATCTTACTCGGGACTCGTTAGTTGGATGTACCTGTATCTCGGAGTCGCTGTTAACTGCAAGAATTGAACCCAGTACAGGTCGCTTGAGAGAGCTGCTCACTAGTGCAACGTGTATGGTATACCAACTAGAACTGACCAGATTTCAGTCAAAAATAGCAACAAAAAGATAATCCAAATTATTGCAAATTGAATTAAAAGATATGATCATTTAAACTTACTCGATCCGACAATGTTGTTTTCCAAATGGAGCTTCAACAAATTCATATTGTGGAATAGGATCAATGCCTTCTCGTTCAAAATATGTATTCAATGTCCGTTTTGGATCGTCACGATATAATTTCTCATGACTCAAGCAAGTTCCAGATTGCAATAAAGTTGGAATTGGTTCGGGAACAGGGTCTTCTACTAGATAATAGGTTTAGCGAAAAAGTTAACTTATTAAAATATTCCAAATAATCATATATATTATATATACTTCTGAATTCCTCTACAGTACTGCTCATTTTAACCAATAAATCAATGAATCAAATATATTATCAACATAGAGTTAGGGTTTGGTACAAATGTGTGCAGAAAGCATTTGATAGCGTGGATGGGATGATATTATCGAGGCTTCTTCGAGATACTCAACGTCAGACGGAATTCTTATGATGGACTAAACTGCAGCTGGACAATTGCGACTTTGCAGATGATCTAGGCCCTCTATTCCACACACGGCAACAAAGGCAAATAAAGACTGCTAATGTAGCAGCAGCCTCAGCAGCAGTAGGTCTCAATATACACGCGGGGGGGGAAGCGAAATACTCCGACACAACACAACAAGCACTAACCGAATCACAAGTGAAGGAGAAGCATTGGCAGAAGTGGAAACCTTTACATACTTGCACAGCATCATTGATGAACAAGGAGGATCTGATGCAGATATGAAGGTACGGAGTAACAAAGCAAACAAAGCATTTCTATAATTGAAGAACATTTGGAACACAAAGGAACTATCAACCAACACCGGAGTCAGAATTTTCAGTGCAAATGTTAAAACACTTCTACTGTATGGGGAGGAAACGTCGAGAACCATGAAGGCCATCATCCAAAAGTTATAAGTGTATATTAACAGCTATCTAAGCACAATACTTCGGATCCGCTGGCCAGACACTATCAGCAACAACCTACTGTGGGAGAGAATACACCAGATTACAGCATGAGAAGGAATCACAAAGAAGGGCTGGAATTGGATAGGATACACATCAGTATCATGCAACATACATGATAATATAAGAAGGACTGAGCATTGAGAATATAGTTCCAGAAGACAAAATGAGAAGATATTATATGAAGCAATAGTGGGAATCAAAATCTATAAGAAGATAATAAGTGAGCGCATGCATCTCAATCAGTATTTTGACCGATTCTATTTATTTTTTAGAGAGTATTTTACTGAGAGCATTGTTGTACAAGGTATTTATTAGTTGTAAATAATGAAAAGATTTTAAAGAAAATCAGATTAACTTACACGATATGCCCCAGTTACATTCAAGCTTGACAGTATTTGAATTCTGTGTTGATGAGTTATTACGTTCCATTGTAAAATTCATCTTATAATCTTCATGAGATTTTTTTAAATCAGACCAAGATTGAGAAGTTTGTTGTTCAATGTCTTCTTCTGGTCCTTGAAGAACATGCAAACGTGTACTACCACCAAATCGTAAAACATAACCAACGCGAATACGTACAAATCTTCCTGGAGGTAAACGTCTCTTTATGATAAAAAAAAAAGTAGTCAGGGTGAAGAAAACAGGCGCTAAATTAATATTATATATGAAATCACAGATTCGCATGCGAGTGATCAAAAATAACTTTCATTGCTAAAGAATATGACATGCATCATTAGTGATTTATATTTCCAGAGGATATATATATACATATATCGATTAAGTTTGGTGAATAAATTTCACTTTTCAATCAGTCTTTTCATTTAAGTAGCTGGCTAAGCTCGTATATGGGAAGATTGCATATAGGTATCAGACTCAGACAGTTATATTGATCAACTACCTGCCTTAACGGCAATTTGTATTTTAAATGAAAAGCATTTTAACATGAAACTACAAGTTAGAATGGGACATAAAATGGTCATTTGTTTATCAAATTTTAAAAGTTTATCACGAAAACTGTGATGACCACGGATGACCATGAGCTCCTTATTTTACATTTTGAAAAGAGATATGATTACAAACTGTCAATGACCATGAGAAATACGCCAGAGCATTGCTTGTGGTAGTTGAACAGGTATTGAGGTTTGTAAAATAAGCAGAAACCCATATGTTTAATTATCACAGAATATGGATGAAAAGATTAATAAATTATTTGAAAAAAGCATACAATACTGTCGGCCTTCAGTTGAGCAATCGTAATCAAAATAATGCCTCATGTACTTTGCGTGAAATTTAAGGCTCAGTGATAGATAACGAAGTAAAAATTGACAATGATTGGTCCTGAAAATGCTCAAAATCAAAAAATTTCTAATATGCAACAGAAAAGTGAACTTGAAATGGAAGTTAAGTTACAAAACATACCAGCTTCTGAGGCAGATTCTGCGTTAAAGTAGTTGATGTAATTTAATGCGCAACCGAGAGGGCTTAGTTACGCTACACAATAACCTTCCTTTCCATCTCTTATTCTAAATCTCAACTATGAGTATCTTAATCTTGTTAACAGTAGAATGACAAAGCATTGTATCATAACTAATGTCAGTTTCTAATGAAAATACCAACAATAATTTATAAATCCAACATAGAACTCTGGATTAGTACTTGTCAGCTAACCCTAACCTTTTCGCATCATGGATGGTGTCAGTTGGTAACGAAAACTGTATCGAATGATAACCCTGACTCAAAACAACAGCCTGACTTCCTATATGTAAATTTGACCTTTTACTTTCAATACAAGGAATAATTGGACAGGTTAGAGTTAAATACTGATATCAAAGCCATTATATCACCGTTTTCTTATTTTATGCTGTCAATTGTATTATAACTACGCAGTGTTCCCCAATTTGTGGTTGGTAAGTTGCTCAAAGTTGTCAGTTTATTATACAATTAAAAATTACTTCATTCACTTCCAATAGATCAATATGATAACATCAGTAATAGAAGTAAGCAACCTTGAAAATATGTGATCTATTTACGAATCTGAAGATTTATATTTAACATTAATTACGGTGTGTGTTTCAATAGACTTTGAATCTTAGATTTCAATCAGTCAAGTTAGATTTTTGGAGATGAATGGTTAAGTGGATTTGACTGACTGCATAAGATTATATCATCGTACTAGCAGTAATACTTTTTTACAAGATAAATTGGACTGCAAAACAATTCTTTTTATAAGAGAATAGAAAAACTTAATTACTTAAAGAGTATTCTCAGTATATTCATACCATGCATACTTCCCAATGATTGTATGTTATAATTAGTTGAGTTCGAATTTTGTACATCTTGTTATTCTTTTAGTCGAGTGATTAGATCTACAACAATGTCACTGTTGTTAACTGATTGATTTGAAACCAACACCTTTTATTGTTTCAAAAAATTCTTTAAGAGAGCCTTTGATTCTTACTCATTACAATACCAAGATCAATAATTGTTGGGGATGTTAGATCCCCAAAATTCGCTTGATAATGCCGTATTTTGGTTTTCACGTTTTGCAAGCATGGGCTGATCAGATGACCTTGAGATTTCAATTCCCACCAGGAAAATCCATGGCTGTGATTGGCTGCTGTGTATTTTAGTATGCTATTTTCTTAACTGTCTCAAGGACGTTCTTATGTTGTATAAATAAACGAGAGTTGTATGCTTGATTGTACTGTGATTGCTGGGTGTTTGTAGAATATACTTCTACGCTTACAGAGCCTCTTATTTCGACTTTGGGTATTCAAGGTAGCCTCCCTGGAAGCTGGTAAAAGTCTCGTTCGCGTTTATCGACTAAGGTAAACTCGTAATAGCCTCAAGCATACTAAGTGACGAACTTATCAGTGGCGACGGTGCTTTTGGAAATATGGATCCTGCCAAACTTGAATTATTACTTGAGCAGCAGCTGAAACTGATGCAGATGTTGACAGACATGAAGATTTCCCCTTCCACACAGCCCAGCTCATCTAATGCAACCACAGCTCCATCGGTCGACGGCATCGCAAATAGCATAGCTGAATTTCATTATGATCCTGATGCAAATGTCACTTTTGACATGTGACGAGTGACGAACTTATCAATAATACTATTATAATGAGCAATAAAAGTAATCATCAACACATCCAAAATTTTAGAGTAAAGTCAATAATCAAGAATAAATGTTACAAATATTAATATTTCCTAACTAACCTTGTTGACAAAAGTACCATGAGTACTTTCTAAATCTTTCAAATACCATCCAGTAGTATCTTTTTCAGTTTCTGGTACATGACCTATAGCATGCGGTGGTTTACCATACTGTAATACAGCATGTAATCGACTTATGGAAGGATGTGCAAGTACTGAACATTGTCCATTCATATTATTTGATGGTGTACAATAATAGGATTGAGGTTGACGTCCAAATAGGCAATAGCTTAAACCATCACATGAAGATTGTAAATTGATATCCGAAGGAGGAGATGATAAATAAACTGTACAATCTGATAGTTGTAAACCATTTTTAATTACTTCTAATTTATAGTCTAAAGATGGAGAACAGTTTAAAGCCCAACTTGGAGGATAATATATATTAGATATAGATGAAGTGTTCTCGTCTGACTTCTTGACATCGATTGACATGGTCTAAAATAAAGTAAGTACAGTGAAATAACATTATCAACATAAAATATTTGTTCAGTGAGGAGAACAAGCTAGAGCCTTTTTCTTCAAATGATCACATGATTTCAAAGTACATTTTCAGCCAATCAGGAAAGACTATGCTTTAATCAAATATTTTCGCAACCAAATTCATGAAAACTGTTCGAGTTAAAAAGTTTTAGAAAGTTTATTGGTTCTGCAAGGATTATAATCAATTTCCTAGTAGAAATATAGCTGCATAATATGATTAATAAGAGTGTAACCAAATTTACGCTAAAGATTTCTCACTAAATCGTACTCATACCTGTAAACAGTTTTACGGGAAATTCATCATCAACTGCAAAATCTTTACCAATAAATTTACTAAAGAATTATAAAAACGAGATTACAGGTGAACTATCATTATCTTCATATCATCATATGTAATAAGGTCAGACATATTTTCGGATACTTATTTCACTAGTTGCTTGATTACTTGGTGAGTGTTTTTTTCCGATTTCACTATGAACGAAGTAATAAATTGCGACAAAAACTGATTGATTCACGTGTTACGTAAAAGGTGAGTAGTTGATACGCTCATCACAATTGTACTTCTTACACGACAACGAAAATAATTCCCCTTAGCAAGTTAAGTCATTCCGAGAGCTAAACAAAGGTGTTTCAACAGAAAATATTTTATGAGATCAGTGAGAAAAGTCATTCATTTTTGGATTTTGTGCATGAAAAACGATTCTGATCGATTTGTTTTCTACTTAAACACATGCACAACACAAATCATTGAATCTGTGTGTGGGATGAGATACTGTCCGGACGTCCAAATGAAAATAGGTGGTTTTCTGGAAGGGCTAATCTCCGGGTCTGTGATCTATATGTCTAATCCGAAATCCGGTAAAGCAGTCCGAGACCCCTTTTAGTGATAGCCAGTGACTAAATATAGGTTCATAGGTTATCTATTCCCTTAGGAACATGAGGTTTAAGTGTATGATTGGTTTGGAATCAGATCTCCAACTGTCCCAAGTGGATCTCATGTACCCGTTAACCCGGTCTAACCGCTAGACATTCGCTTTTCATCTCGATTGTGTAAACAACACCTCCACCGTGAGAAGGCAGTGAGTAGGACTTCAATGGCAGTAACTATATATGCGTGATCATAAGAGCATTTCGAGAAAGAGACAGTAGACTCATCTCTACACTATACTTCTACTGAATGTTCTTCGATATTTAAGGCATTTCGAAATTTTATCTACTTAAAACAGTAACTTCATTCGTTAAATATTAGCATTACAGTTGAATGGTGCGGGAACTGTGAAATGCTGATGTAAAAATTTTATGTTAACAAAAGGATTTAGGATTAGAACTTTAGATAACTGATCAATTTTTCGGTATGCATATCACATACACTAACAGTATACATTTAATGAATATAGTTAGAAACCTATTGCATGGTTACCAAAATCTCATGGAACAATAAACTGTCGTCTGTAAAAATCTGCACATTGAGTAGTGTCCTATTATTGAGCTGAAATGTTAATGTTACAAATGAACGAATACAATACCTGCATCTTTCGGTGAATTTTATGAACCTATTATGACTGAAATTGTTCAAAATGTATTTACTATTGTTTTTTTTCAGTCAACAAACTTTGTGTGACGTTGATTGGAACAACAGTATAAAGCGAATGAAATCTTGACATCATGACAACAGTTTTAGCAGATTAAAAATGACAATCAAATCAAACAAGGTAGAATCTGCGATATATTTAGATATATTCAGGTTGCCACAGCAAATCAACACAGTGAGATGAAAACATCAAGATGAATGCCAATGTAGTAAATAGTATAAATGACCGTAAAGAACCATAAACTCATTTAGAGAAAAAGGTAAAAATTATACCTTAGGGATGAACAAATTAAAATCGAGAAAGCGTTTAGCTCTTCACGTGAAATTTAAATATCAAATCTAACGAGTACTAGAAATACCTTTAGATACTGCTCAAGACGTTAAAATGATAGGGGGAAAATATTTTTCGTTAGCGTAGAGTTAAAAATGATAGTTTTAAATGGATTAAATTCTTAATTCAATCACTGTAGATCGTATATAACAGACAAATCGATACTATCCCGGAAACCAGTGATTTTTAAAACAAGCCTAAACTTGGTGGCGCTGCATTTTATAGATGATATAATTAGAAAACACCCCTTGCATTACTTGATTTATGATGTTGTTCGTGATAAAAAGCCTAATCCAGACATTAACTAGGAAAACGTTGAGGAATTAAAAATCTATTTGGGTACATTTAAGGATTTCAGAAAAAGTGAGACAGTTCATATCCACTAGGAAGAGTTTACATGTCGTTTTTTTCGATTTTCACGTAGAGTAACCTGTGTAGGACATTAACAGACTTGTCGATTGCGTAACATCTGTTTATACTTTGCAATATTCTTGTCTTCTTATCGAGAAACTACCTATTTATGAAAGCTGCTTTCTAAGTGGCTAGAAATTGGCTGAAAATCCGTTGCAGTTGTTTGAAGTCTATTATCATACTATATGTTTGTCAATAAAAAAATGTGAAATAATGCAGTATTTTACTCACAAAGAGGGCCTAATCTAACCTGTTTGTCAAGTATACTTTTACTTACTCAATCTTAAGCCATATGTCATGTTAACATTGTGAAGGTTGTCTGGATAAGAGTAGATGAAATGGTGTTTGAATCAGTAACTTATTGGTTGGATCAGAAGGTCACCGTTTTAGTACTGAAACATAAAACAACGATTAACGTTCCCAAAATTTTATTTTTCGAACCAACTAATCAACTATTTACAACTCTTCTTTGAACACTCCGTGTTCTGGGAAACTTTTTTTTAATGTGATTAGCCACGATTCAAAATAATTGCAGTTTTACATTAGCTGGATAGGTAAGCCTTGAATGTACGACGGCAGTGAGCAATAGGAACGCTAGGCTCACCTAACACAGACACTACCTCCACATTTAAAATTCTATTAAAAACAAAAACTTAAGATAAAACTACTTACTTCAGAATTGGTACAAGGTTCCTTTTCAAGAGCAGTGTCGTCACTACCTGTGGTAGTAACCAATTCTTTAGTATCCACACTTTGATGAGTATGATTTTCAGCATTTTCTGGAATAGTGCCTTCCAATTCAGAAGTATTACCCATAGTTGTTTCAAGTAAAGGATTATTCGGTATATCAACTTCCATTATCTATTGTATTTTGCTATCTAAAATGATGATAGATAACTGTTTATTTTACATTTATAACAAAAATCAGTAACAATAATAATGTTCACTGAAGTGATTACAAAAACACAGAGCAGACAAATGTATTCCTTTAAACGGTAATTACGATATCTAACTCCGCATTAAAAAGTAATTTTTATAAGTAAATATCAGGAATATAAAAGATTGGTAGAAGAGTAAACTTTATTTCTAACATAGTGAACCATAAATTTATGTTAATTAGATTTAATTGCACGACTTTCCTTGCAAATGTCATCTTAGTCAAATGTAAAATGAGTTATATAATTCATTATATTTATAAACTTAACCAGTAAAAAAAGGAATATAACCAAAGTAATATAAATCATTTATAAAAATGTACTCGGGTTTTGACTGTCCATGAGGCATGATTTAGATGATTTTCTGAATAAAATGAATGGAAGTAAAGTTAATCAACAGACGAAGGATCCTACATTAGTTCGCGAGGAAGGTGATAACAGTGGGTAAGATCTTAGTTGATGACTGAAAGATGAGCGACCAGAAAAAAATTAATCCCTACAATCACCGATGGCTATTCACCATTTTGATGTCGTGTTAATATTTTATGCATAATTGGATCATTTCACATTCTCTTCAAGAAGATTCGAGATGAAGAACAAGTACACTCAGACTGGAAAGAAGGATACCTCATCAAAATACTAAAGAAAGGCGATCTCAGCAAGTGTGAGAACTACAGAGACATCTCTCTTCGTTCAATACCAGGCAAAGTCTTCAACAGAGTATTGTTAAACAGAATGAAGGACGTCGTAGACGCCCAACTTTGAGATTAACAAGCTGGATTCCGTAAGGATCGATCATTTATTGACCAAACTGCAACATTATGTATTATTGTGGAACAATCAAGTGAATGGAACTCACCACTATACATCAACTTCATCGACTACGAGAAGGCACTCGATAGCGTGGATAGGAAAACACTATGTCGGCTTCTTTGATACTTCGGCGTGCCTGAGAAGATAGTCAACATCATACGGAATTCTTATGATGGATTAAACTGCAAAATCATGCACGAAGGACAGCTGACAGACTCGTTCGAGGTGAAGACCGGTGTCAGGCAAGGTTGCTTACTCTCACCTTCCCTCTTTCTCCTGGTGATCGACTGGATTATGAAGACGTCACCATCTGGAGAAAAGCAAGGAATCAAACGAACAGCTAGGATGCTGCAGGACGATCTGCACTTCGCAGATGACCTGGCTCTTCTATCGCACACGCAACAACAAATGCAAAGGAAGACGATCAGTGTAGTAACAGTCTCTGCAGCAGCAGGTCTCAACATACATAAAAGTAAAAGCAAAATTCTCCGATGCAACACAACATGCACCAACCAAATCACTCTTGATGGAGATGCTTTCGAAGACGTTAACAACTTTACATATCTGGGCAGCATCATCGACGAGAAAGGTGGATCCGATGCAGATAAGAGGGCACGGATTGGCAAAGCAAGGGCTGCATTTCTACAATTGAACAACATCTGGAACTCCAAACAAATATCAATCAACACCAAAATCAGGATTTTCAACACAAATGTCAAGACAGTTCTACTGTATGGAGCGGAAACTTGGAGAACTACCAAAGCCATCATCCAGAAGATACAAGTGTTTATTAACAGTTGTCTACGCAAAATACTTCGTATTCGTTGGCCAGACACTATCAGCAACAACTTACTGTGTGTGAGAACAAACCAGATTCGAGTGGAGGAGGAAATCAGGAAGAAGCAGTGGAAGTGGATAGGACACATACTGCAAAAAGCACATAACTGCGTCACAAGACAAGCCTTCACACGGACCTCTCAAGGCAAAAGGAAAAGAAGAAGGCAAAGGAACACATTATGCCGAGAAATAGAAAAAGATATGAGAGAAATGAACAAAAATTGGACAGAACTGGAAAGGGAAGCCCAGGACAGAGTTGGTTGGAGAAAACTGGTGGGCGGCCTATGCTCCATTGGAAGTAACAAGCGAGAGTAAAGTAAGTAAGTAAGGATCATTTCTTGGCTAAACAATCTGCTCTACTGCCTAATGGTCTTGTTTCTGATTTTAAATCATCTGAAGGTTTGCATAGATAACACAGTTTTGTGAGCAGGCATCACTCATTCAGATTGCACCATTACATATCACTTATTGATTAGCACTCATCCCATTCATTTTAATAAGCGTAAGTTCCTTAAAGCCATAATTTGTATCAGAATAGCACTTTTATGCGGCCTAACGATACTATCTATCCGCACAGATGCAACTGCGTAAGGGTAAAATTTAAGCTTACGACTAATCTACTAGTTGAAAACTGAGTATTTCACAGTTACAGTAACATGATAACAAATCAAGAAATGTGTAAATTGGTGCAACAGTATCAGATTATTAACTGAAATTTAATTAATTCTTCAAAGTACCTAATAACTAACTGTACAGTAAGCTAGTAGATTGTTGAACCAGCTTCTCCAATAATAGAAATACAAAATAACATTTTCTATTCAGGAGAATAAAAAAATTTCAGAGAAGAAAATCTTTAGTATGAGAGAATTGCTTAACAAATGCTACCCCACAAAAACATTGATGATTCATAATTGTTCAAACACAAAATTGCAAACAAATTATACAAACTCAAACATTTCTGGTAATGAGAAAAAGAAAAGAATAATAAAAAACAAATTGCATTAAAATAAAAAATTTTATATTTCTCAAGTGTACATAACAATATTACAAGGATAAAAAAATGATTCCATTTTTTTTGTTTCTAAAGCAGACCTTGACGTTTTAAATCTTCATAAGTTTTACGAGATACAACATTACCAACAGAATCTTCTAATTCTTCTTCAACTTCTGGACGCCAACGTTCAGCTTCTTTCATTGTTCTTATTCTTTGCCATAAAGCTAAAGCTTCTTCAATTTTTGTTACATGAGCAAAATGTATTGTATTCGGTATGCCTAAACAACGCATACCATGAGCATGTCGCCATTCAGAGAAATGTTGTTGAAATGCTTTAGGACCACGATATGTTTGATTACCACAGATTTCACAACTATAATACATATTTAATCCATGCAATTTGTACAACCAATATGGAATAGGCTAAATTTATTTGAAAAAAAAATGAAAAATTAAGAAGAAGAAGAACAATCTTCTATTTATAATTCTTATTTTTAACATGAAATTCAATGAACAGTCAGTCAGTCAGTCAGATGCAACGTAGAACTTCGTACGTAAGTACATCAGTTCATGTCGCCATACCACATCAGCACAGAGATATAATTGTCAATTCAAATCCAATAGTAGAAGAGGTAGTAAAGGTATTAGAAGTAAGCGGAGAGGTTAGGATTATAAGATATTATTCACGAAGTATGATTCAGTGAGAAAAGTTTAGAACACAAAGAATAAATGCACCGGCGCCATTGCAAACGGTTTTGAGCCATGTCATTCAAGGTATCTCAGTCAGTTGCAACGTAGAACTTCGTACGTATGTACATAAGTTCATGTTGCCATACCACATTATTAGCACAGAGACGCAAATGTCAAATCAAATCCCATGGTGATAAAGATGGTAGAGGTATTAATGTTATAATAAAGAAGACTAGGGTTTAAGATATTATTCAAAAAATATAATTCAGTGAGATAAGATTATAAAGACAAAGGCAGAGGTATTGACGAATCCAGAAGATTAGGATTTGAGAGAGCTCAAAGAGTGGATTCACCTGCGCCATTGCAAACGATTTTGAGCCATGTCATTCAGGGTATCTAACCATCGATTATTATCATCTCGCGGACCACAACCAGGTAGTTGACAACTACCGACATGGCTAAGTCCACTCGTCAATGACTTCATGGATTTCTGCCATGTTTTGGTTTGGCCGCCCCTAACTTTCTTCCAACCTACTCCTACACTACAAAACAAAGTTCGTCGAGGCAGTCGGCGGTTAGGCATACGCAAGACATGTCCCAACCACCTCAACTGATGAAGTTTCACTACTTCATCTATTGATCTGCCATTCTTACCTAGCACCCGTTTCCTAATAACAGCGTTGCTCACTCGGGTGTCCCACGATATACGAGCAATGCTTCGAAGACACCTATGATTGAAAACCAGTAACCGACGAATATCTTCTACTCTCACTGGCCATGTTTCACAGCCATATAGGAGAACGGAGCGAACTGCTGCACAGTACACTCGTCCTTTGATTAGAGAACGGATATCACGCCTACGCCATAAGTGACGCAGGTTGGCAAAAGCTAATCGAGCCTTCTGTATCCGAGCTGAGATTTCGTCAGTCACCAGGCTATCGGCACAGATGAGACTCCCAAGATAAGTGAAGCGGTCTACACGCTCGACTACTTCACTCCCTATCACTAGTTCAGGTGCCGATGCAACCCAATCTTGAAGCAACATTTTGCATTTCGAGGGGGGAAACCGCATCCCGAACATGCTTGCATTGTTGCTTAGGGTAGTCAGAAGACGCTGCATTTTGTCAGCATCTTCACCAAGTAGGACTATGTCATCGGCATATTCTAAGTCAATAAGCGAGCCACCTGGTAGAAGGTCTACTCCAGAAAATTCAGACGAGGATAAGGTTATTTCTAGGAGCATGTCTATGATAAAATTAAACAAAAATTAAACAAAATTCAATGAACAGATCACTATCAAGTTGTTCTAAACAGAAAGATGAATCTTATTCAGTATTTACGTTGCGCAATATGTATCATCTGTAATGCTAAAATGCAATAAGGGAGAACTTGACTTCTTCGAAAAGCATTAGCTGAAAATGGATACCTAAGCCGTTTCATAGAGAAGAGTAGGAAAGTAAGTTAGAACAAGGAATCTAGAAGAAATCCCACCTTGAAAAAATATCTTTAGATGAATCTGAAATTTAAAAGTGGCCAAACTTCTGTTTACGAACTGTATTACTATACAGTAGAACGTTGATTAGCATTTGCAAACATGAATTTATTTTCCTTATCTGTAATGGATAAGCATTCTCATCTGGTTGCCTTTCCGTGAATCTACCTACTCATGTATTTTTGTGAAGAGAGAAACATCGGTCGTAACCAGTACTTACTTTTAACACGTATAAGAGAATATATTTCAGTGTCGTTTTATAAAGATAAGTGGTAATTAGTCAGTCTTATCTTTGAAAATATATTTGAACGTAATTATTTTATTAAACAATATGTCAATTTGAAAGGTGTTTGCGGAACGCATCCAAATTTATTAAGATTTATTTATGATCAACACTTTAGAAAAGTACAAGCTCTTGAGATCCATGAAGTAGGGAAGTATGTCTTATCATTGTGTTTATTAGGACCTGAAACTACTACAATTATAATCATATTAATTTTGATTTGACTGATTCTGCATTTGGGAATGTTCACCTCTCTTTAATTATTTCTCATATATTAATGATTTTATGCATAATTATGGAATAGGGAAAAAACGTCTTAATTATTATACAACCTAACATTATCACCTTTCTATTGCATTTTCATGTTTATTTAGTAACTGTTCACATTTCATTACGCACTGACCCACGTATGAGCACGTGATGACCTTAGCTCTCAACTGGGAGCATACATTTGCACTACTCATCTTGCAGTCACTTAAGGCTTATTCAACTTCGCTCGATACATCAGTTATTTGTCTCTGACAAATTTTCTGCCCTATGTTAGTGGTCCCAAATCACTAAGTGGTCGATTTCTTAAAACTGTCGAACTTCGGGGTTAATGTAGCTATTCTAAAGTTTACAAATTGATGTTGATTACGAATGACTTGTGCAGATCAGATAACGAGTAAGTCATGTAAAGTCACGCTATCATCGTCTACTATGTATCAGAAACTCGTGTACAAGATAACATCGAATTACTGAGAATTCCTCCGTCATTTGTTAATTCGAAAATTGCATACTATATGCATATATCCCAGGATACTGTGGTGTTAGAGTCAGAGATGATTCCCATTAACAGCACGATGTTAAGTTTGGTGATTCAATAAAGAAAAAGTATATATGACTACTTCCAAACTTCAGACTACCAGGTTGGAGTCCGTGAGATGATAGTAACCAATGGTTAGAGACTTTAAAATGACATGGCTGAAAAGCGTTTGCAATGGAGCAGGTGCATCCATTCTTTGTCTGCTCTCAAATGCCAATCTCCTGAATTCCGCATAACCTTTATATTTCTCTTCTCAAATTTATTTCATAGGATTATACTTCTTGAATAATATCTTCGAACCCTAATTTTTCTGATTACTGCTTATACTTCTACTACTTCTACGATTATGGGATTTGAATTGACAATTACATTTCTGTGCTAATGCGGTATGGCAACTTGAACTGATGTACGCACGTACGAAGTTCTACGTTGTAGTTGACTGACTGAAAGTGATGAACAATGCTTTTTCGTTGCCACTGCTTCATTGTCGATGAATGACTTAATCCTTTTCCATTTAACAGAAACGATAAATCTTCTTAACCACACTGAATAATATGTCACTTTTGAATGTTTTTTTTAAAAATTAGTGCATTAGTGATTATTAGGTTTAACTATATACATCTAAAGAAATTAAAGAACTTACTTTCCCATCCCAACCAAGGGGTAGATTTTTCGGATTATACGGAATATCATCATCATCTTCATTCTGTCCGTTTTCTGCACCTGTAGCATCTTTATCTGCATCTGTATCATCTTCATCTCGTTCGAACCCTATTCGTGCTTGACGACGTTGCACGTTCTCAATGGTGGCTTCACGATGTTCTTTGACTAGTTCACTGAGTCTGTATATTCTAGCCTCTAGTGTAGCAATATCTTTCAACTTTTCCGACAGCGCTCTATAAAAAATGTAAAAATTTAGTTAATATTATTGTTATCACAGGGAGAATATTTAAAATTTTGTAACTTTTAGAACTGTTTGTCATATTTTTATTGTACTATTATTATCGAACTCTTATGACTTCCTGCTTGTCAGTTTTGTTGGGTTCATTACCTTACTTAAGTTACTGTTAAAAATAATTATGAACCTATTACTTAGTTATGAACCAAACTGTTAAACAGGAGTTTATCTATTTACTAGTTTCTTGTTCGGTTCTGGCTATCGAGTAGGATCGATAAGCATCAAATATGTTTGAAACGTTATCTGACTACCGTTGACTAGATAGTCAAAGTTAGGCAGTTATATCACTAGCTAACACTAAGCTATTGGTCCTTACAGGAAATATAAGCGAACTAATCAACAATAGTGCAATAGAACGACTGATCCCATAATAATGCTCGAGTCACAAAGAACCCGATTCAACTAAAGAACTTTATATTCTGTCGTTGTTACATCGATTTCCAGTTATCGAAATTAAGAATAGTACTTACGGAGGTATATGTCCCCAGGCAGCTGTCTTGGCAAAACCTTTAGTTGAGCGTTGTTTTGTAACAAACAGGTCTGCAGGTAAATCTTCAAGTGATTTTCCTTTTGTTGCCCATAAACGACGAGCTCTTTCCTCTAAAGTTCCACCACATTTCAAACCCAACGCGAGTAACGCTGACTTCAGTCTATCAAGTCCAAGTGAAGCAAGTTCTTCCCATGCTGTAAAGGCGGTTAAATCCAAATGAGCACCACCATGAGCTAATGCAGATGCTGCTTCACGACCCCAACCAGGAAATGTTCCTTGAGCCCACTGTGTTTCAAAGTTAGCAAGTGCTTCTTTAGTTTCCTAGAGGTTTGCAAAATGGGATAAATAACACATTAATATATTTTTAAAAAGTTGCGGTTGAAAACAATCGTTAAACATAGCAAATGAATTTGGCTCACTTCTTCTAAATCCACTATAGGTCTGGCACGGGATACAAAATTTTCAAGGTAGCCTAGTAATTCTTCAAGGTAGCTGGTAGATAAGTTATAAAATAAATAAAGATACTCACGCTTTATATGCTATTCCTTTTTTATCACGAGATATATCATATAGTCGATCAAAGAAGGAAATATAGGTGAGATAATCTATGCGCTACAAACAATGAATAACCATTAAAATCCACTGAACATAACTTACTGGAACACCTTTTACATTCAAATATTTTTTATATACATCATGTAAATCTAGATAACGACCATATCCTTCTTCATCTGAGAAATCAATGAGAACAGCATTCGCTTCTTCTGGTCTCTCTCTCATTTCTTTATATTTTTCAAACTCGGCAGACATTGGGACACAGATCTTATTGATTAATAAATAAACAATAGTAACATTGTTGAAGCAAATTACCTCGCCAGGATGTTTACGATGAAATTCTTTAATCTGTTTTAATCTATCATAAAACTCATTAAATTCATTTGGACCAGAAAGTGTTTGAATATCAGCCTTACGTAGACTGTAGAAAACCATATGAACTAAACGGAATATAAACTTGCCCATCCTTATCTTCATACAAATCTCTGAGTTCTTGTGTGACATCAAAGTATCTCTATAATCATGAAGTTAAAATAAAAAAAACTTCACTTACATCATACATAAGTCTTAAACGAAGCTCTGAATTTAATTTTTCTCTATGCTAAAACGAAGATGAATTAATTCAATAACAGCTTACTGTAGTAGGATTATAAAGCATTTCTTTTGTCAATTCATTTATTAGTCTTTCCCGCTCTTCATGGATGCGACGCTGCTGTTCAAGCACAGTTTCCATATTTCGTTGTTATTTACCGACTAAAGTAGTTAAAAATAAATATTGAAGACAATAATATTTTCAGTCATACATGGCAGACTATCAATTTATTGGAAGAAAAGCCAGTCAGTCAAACAGTCTGACTGATGTTACTACTAAACTTATATTAACACTTCTATATTTTGAAAAGCCTTTATAGTAAGACCCGAAACAGGATACGTTTGCCGTACTCCTTTATTGGGTTCTGAATCTAAAGATCTAATGAAGCTTTCAAAAGCCACCTTTTCAAACTGTAAAGCTAACAGTCAACAGACAAAAGATTTTGAGGAATTGATAGGTTTACCAAATTTTTTTCGACATTACTATCAACACATATACAGTCGTTCAGTTACAATGTAGAACTTTGCACGCACGTACATCAGTCCCAGTTGAAATACCACATCACAGAATTGTAATTTCAAATACAAATCCCATAGTAGTAGAGGTAGTAGAAGTATTAACAGTATACTAACATGAAAGTCCAGTTGTCAGTGACTTCATGGACTTGTGTCATACTCTGGTTTGGCCGCCCCTAGATTTCTTCCAACCTACTCCTACACCAAAAACCATTGATCACCAAGGCAGTCGGTGGTTAGTTGGGCATTCGTAACACATGTCCAAACCACAGCAACCGGTGTAGATTCACTACTCCATCTATTGATCTGCCATGCTGACCTAGTACCCACTTCCTAACAACTCAATAGCTTACTCGATAGTCCCAAAATAAACGAGCAACGCTTCGGAGACACCTATGATCGAAAACCAGTAACCTATGAATATCTTCTACTCCTAACTGCCTATGTTTCACAGCCATAAAATAGGGACAGAGCAAACTGCTGCGTAGTACACTCGTCCTTTGGTTAGTACACGGATATTTCGCCTATGCCATAAGTGACACAAGTCGACAAAAGCCAATCTAGCCTTCTGTATTCATGCCGAGATTTCGTCACACACCACGCCATCAACACTGATGAGACTCACCAGATAAGTGAAGCGGCCGACACGCTCAACTGCTTCAATCCCTATCACTAATTCAAGTGCCGATGCAATCCAATTCTAAATTAACAGTTTTCATTTCGACAGGCAGATTGGCATCCCGAAAAGGCTTGCAATGCTGCTTAGGGTGGTTAGAAGACTCTGCAGTTTGTCAGCGTTTTCAACATATAGAACTACATCATCAACATATTCAAAGTCAACAAGCGAATCTCCTAGTAAAAGTTCAACTCCTGAAAGTCCGATGACAGTTTGCCATAAACTCTCACTAAAACAGCAGTGTTCAAGTAGAGAGTCTTTACAAGGGCTTAATGTGTTTGTCTGGTACATCTTTCAATGACAGACTGCCTTAGAACCACAAAATCAATAGAGTCAAAAGCCGCCTTAAGGTGCAGAAAGACAACTATTGTCGGACGCCTAAATTAGTGTGTGTTCTACGACCTGTCGAAGTGTGAATATGTGGTGCATACAGCCACGTCCATGTCGAAAACTAGCCTGGTTTTCACGAGTCTGCTCTTCATGAGCTCTAGCTAGACATAAGAGTATTATTGAGGCAAATATTTTCAATACTAAATTAGTTAGACTGATCCCTCTATGACTGTCACAAGAGGACTTTTGACTTCTCTTATAATTGGAATAATCAGCGATTGCGACCAGTCAGATTGGATTACGCTCAGTTCCCAGATTCTACCTAAGATCTCAGTCCATCTGACTGCTAGAACTGGGCTACCATCCTTAAAAATCTCAGGGATTGATCTATCAGGACCTGCTGCTCTCTCGCTTCAGATTTCATATAACCTTTTCAACCTCATACACATTTGGAGAACTTACATCAACTTGCGAACCAGGATGACGAGAGATCGTGGGTGACCGAAGTGTGGCTCAAAGCCAGTTGAACTGCTCGCTGAGTTTGCCTTACTAGCAGATATCACTGTTGTATTCACAGATTTTCGGATAGCAATCAAAGCTGCCTCAGGGTGGGTATCAACTACATAGCCGTCTAACTGTTTGTCTAGCTGCTCCTGAAATATATTTCTAGCTATGATATCATTAGGTAGGACCCTGTGGTTTCCTTTTCGACGTCCAGTAGGCCTCAAACACATACGCTCTCGCACTAAAGCATAAACTGAATCTAAACCAGTACTCCAGAATAAGCAGCAGTCTTTAATGGAGCCTTTCCAAAGATGGTTGATAGCAATGTGGTCTAGTTGGGCCCATCACTGAGTCGGCTTCGGGGGTTGCCAAGTCAAGAGATGTTTTTCTTCACACTTAAAGATAGTATTTGCTAGAAATGGGCGCTTATCTGAGCACAGTTGCAGTAGACGGTCGCCATTATTTGATCTTTGAGTCGCAACACCATAAGATCCACCCAGATGTCTTTTCTTTTCACCTAGTCCACCTACTTGGGAATTAAAGTCACCAGCCATTATTACTAAATGAAAGCGCTTTACTTTTTGACGGTTAGAAAGCTTCCTGTAAAACTCATCTATAATCTCGTCCGAGCTGCAGCCAGTGGGAGAGTAATGAGAGACAATAAAGAGGCAACGACCAGTTTATCTATCTTTAAGAGTCCTTACGGTTCCGTTTAGTCGGACAGTGCAAAAGCAACTGTCTACTGTGGTCCAGTCTAAGAGAGCTAGTTCTGCCCTACGACTCAATGCTATACCTACACCAGTGAGGCCACGGGAAGCAGCAGCAGGACTCACAGATACACGAAGCGTAGACCGAGTTAGTTCTCTATCTGGACAAGGTGAAATCAAACTAATGATTCTACTCGGATCCTGTATGCGCGTTTTAGAGGCGCAACACACCGATGACACGCGACTCAGTCAGTCAGTTACAACGTGGAACTTCGTAGATGAGTACATTAGTTCAGGTTGCCATACCAGGCTAGCACAGAGACGCAACCGTCAATTCAGATCCCATAATGGTAGAGATAGTAGAAGTACCACTGGTGATTGAGAAGATTGGGATTTGAAGATATTATTCAAAAAGTATAATGACACGACGTTAGCTGTTACCTTGACGTGGTGGTCAGGCTTGACTCTCGTGATAACCCAACCGAGCTATATTGGCTGGAACATATGTTCCTGAAGGTTCTACCATCACAGGCAAGTCGATTGGAGAACGATGAGACTAAAAACAGCTACTCAAGGTCTGAGGGCGAAGTCGTACTGCTGACTGTAGAGGGATGTGACAGCAGTAGGGTGTCTCCCTCGGACAACCAGCATCTGCAGCGATTCTGCCTTCTCACAAGGAAGGAAGGGGTTAGAAAAGTCATACTTCACCTTACCTGACGGATTTCCGTCTCCAGCTGTAAGGCCTTTTAAACAAGAACGGAGTTAACACTTGAAATACTTCTCATAAAAAGGCCGTGTGTGACCAGCCTCAAGAAGTCGTCCCTTGGGCTCTGTGGTCACGCTCCCAGGTCTCTAAGACCAAGGATAACCTACTTTTCTTCAAGAAACACCCTCCCACGGAGTGGGCAGCCGAGAAGTGACATCCACCTTCATACACGTAACAGCAGGCGAGACCAAATTGGTCACAAACAAATCTTCACTACACCCCCTAACATCCCCCTTATCTCCACGACTAACTTTTCTCACATTCCTTTATCACCCCACACCTCTGCTGCAAACGATGACACGCGACTCCAGAGTCTTAGCTACGGAATCCTGTTCCCTAGTCGAACATTAAAAACCCCAACATGTAGTTTAGAGCAGGGTTTCAGGAGACCAAGAATACCGCTTCGTGAACCCAAAACGTTTGCATCAGAGCCACGAGGTGACAAAGAAGTGAACGAGTTGGTTGTGGAAATAAGAGAGTTATCAAGAGGTGTAGGGACGGTTTAACTGTGACTGATTTGGTCTCGTGTGATTTTGGTGTATGAGAGCGGATGCCACTTCCCGACCACCACATCAAGGTAGAAGCTACGAACCAAAAAATCTAGATAACCGCCGAAAAGTAAAGCATTGGATGACTGCTGTATTCTCGTATGGGACACTTTGGTAGGAAGCACCTATGACATCACTAAAAGGAGTCGGATTCAGGATGCCAGCTATGGTCTGTATGTTAAGCGTTTGGGTGCGAAGCCAGTCCTGGGTTGAATTCTGTGTAAAGGATCGTAGATGCATTGGTGAGGAGTCCATACTAAGCAGCTGCTTAGTGCTTCTTGGTTTTCTAATGGAGGTCTAGGCGAGATCAGTTAACGATACAATTTATAAAAATTATTATCATTGTGAAGCATGTTTTACAAATGTGATGTAACGCAGTCACCCAGTCAATACCAAAGTTGGACATAGCATGTGTGTGGGTTAAAACCGCCAAACTTCACATTAATGCAGCGACAAGGAATCAATAAATTGGAAAGCACATGATAGAAAATAATATCAAAGTTGATAGAAATGTAAACATACAAAATACACTTTGATGGGAATAAATGCGATCGAAAAATGGCAGGCTAATGATCATACCTAACAAGATTTAAATAGGCCAGGAGGAAAACTCGCGTGAATCAAAAACGGCATAAGTTTTAAAAGCCGAACTAAGTTTTTTATTGGTGAAGAGGTTTCATCAGCCACTGATTAATAAGAGCTATTGAAACCCAGTAACTGGAATTACCAGAACACTCAACTATCATTTCTAAAGTCGTACTAGGAAATGACACGAACTACTTATGATACGCCAGTCTAAATATTAGGAAAATAAACATTTTAAATGTTTTTTTAATTGGTGATCAAGGCACTCAAAATATTGCATTCTCTCCCAAACAAGTGTCGTCTACTTATAGCAACATGTAGTGAAATTACCAAGATCTTACATCGTCAGATAAATAGGAAATAGTCACCACAATGTACTGCCTAGTAAACGATATGAATAGTCAGATCTCTGCAAGAAGATATTTATGTTCTAATCAAGATTACTAGAAGCACAGGTTAGAAACTAGAAGTCGTGTTAGAATGTCATACGTCATAATAATCTTTAGACCTACAACAGTGGAGTCAAGATTATCATGGTTAATATGGGCTAAAATGGAATAGGAACTTGACACCTAAATAACCATTGTTTGGTTGAATTTGATAGTTGAATGTGTCTGGAATATGGATTACTCGAGTTCTCATATTATGTATAGCGCAAAAATTCATCTTCACCATCTAAATGTAGAACTACAAAACAAATTTCCCATTTTATACTGTTTCCCTTCAGTTGTTTATAATTAACCCCAAAACATAGGGGCTCGGTAACGATAGACAAATAAGATACGGCCGCAGTTATATGTAGAATGAGTTCGCCGACAAAGACATTTACGACGATAATTAACACAAGACTTATAAGTAGATAGCTAAAAAATATAATATGAGCTTATACAAAATAGGTTTTATGCACTAAGTTGGAGATCAAAGATTGCTACATTACTCACAAACAGACGAGTCAACAGTTAGACATTCCTTAGCAGACTTCAAGGCACGCAGTAAAGCAACCCATGGAGTAACAATGCTTATTATCCATGTTTTTCACATTCATATATATAAACCTAGCTAGGAAAAACAATGATAACTTGTTCCAGCGATTATTAATATACATATGGTAACCAAGCACAGAGCTTCTGAGGATGATAAACACTCACATCACCATAACTTATTGAAAGATATGGCCAAATTAAGCCTGATGTCATGAAGACAGGGAAGAATACAATTTATTGAGGAGTATTTCGCTTTTATTTTCAGATCTCTCGTCCCCTTTATTTTCTTGTCATTGCAGCTTGGGGATGTATTTCACTTGATGTGCAACTGTTTAGTACTGAAACCCCAGTCCAGAAATACGCTTTGTTGGTTGAATATGTAAAACAATATTTCAGTTAGATCAGTCATAAAAAAATACCACATAAAAAGAAAACCAAATAAGACACCTTCGTAGCCACCAAGATCACAAATTCCGCCAACTTATCCAATATCCAATATCTTTTTCACGAGCTAGTGTAAACCAGTTTGATTTCTTCGCGCTCGATTCTTGTTCTTTCGGTACGGTTCCAGGTGTTCGGTAATGTCCAATCGATGGAGGTCTAGCCACTCGACTGTCTAATTCTAGTCAGTTGGCAGTTGGTTGTGAGTTTGTATGTCTCGGGATTTGAATGAAACGTTTGTTTCAGGGCAGTAGGGTTTCTAGATACTAGCAGCCGTCACATTACCAAACCGGAGATCAGTTAGTTGCAATTTGGAGAGTAATAAGGGTAATAATGATAAATTAAAATGATAATATGAGTAAAATTACAGAACTGAGTAATATATAGATGAATTTAGTTTATTAATTGGTAGTGAAGATTGTGAGAGAGGACCGAAGTGTAAGCAAGGGAGAGGAAACAGAGATAATAGGCGAGATAGATTAATTGAGTGATCTGAGGAGATGGCAATGGTAACAACTAGCAGGTCTCAAGATATGCATCAGGCACAGCTTTTCCAAGAGGGAGATGATAGTCCGTATGTGAGTACGTGATTATCAAGTCTCTTCTTAAAGCAGTCCACTGAGGGGGCTGTAACTACCTCGGCTGGGAGAGCATTCCAAGTTGCGACGACTCGCAATGAGAAAAAGTGTGCACGAATCTGAGTGTTTGCTCTTTGATGTGCAATCTTTCGAGGATTGCCTCGAGGGGAGTGGTGGTGATGCATCGGTAAGATGCTCACATTGGGATGGTTTGGCGTGTTTAATATGGTGTACGCCATAATCAGCTCACCTCTGATTCTCCTGTAGCTCAGTGGGAATAATCCCAAGAGCTGGAGTCCATCGTCTTAGGGTTTATTTTTCAACCCTATCACCCATTTGGTTGCTCGTCTCTGCACTCGATCCAAGAGATTAATGTCTCTTTTAAGCAGAGGGGGTGCGATGACGTTGTGGACCTCCAAGTGTGGGCGCGCGTACGTCTTAAAGAGGGTTAAAAATAATTTCGGGGTTATAGCACCAAGCTGTCTTCGCATAAAGTGAAGAGTCGCATCTGCCTTGGCTGCATCCCCTACATAGTTCGGACTGGTGTGGAGGCTTTCTGTGGTTATTAAACCAAGGTCGCGCTCTGAGGAGACATTAGGGAGCGGATTTCCATTGAGAGTGTAGGTGGTTTGCGTCATCCAACATCTTTTTCACGAGCTAGTATAAACCAATTGATTTCTTTGCTCTCGATTCTTGTTTTTTCGATACGGTTCGAGGTATTT